CAACCTTCCTTCCGAGGAGTGGCTGGTGGGTTTGAACCGCCAGCCGTCTGGTTAGCAGGCAAGTGACTTAGCCACTATGCTACCAGAGCTCCTTGTTTTTTCTCATAGGGTAATGTATTTTGAAGATCTTTCTATTTAGGTATTTTAGTATATTCCAAGCACTATTAGAGTTTACACATACTACCTAATTTAATCCTCAGAACAACCCTGTGATATCCAAGTACTGTTATTCACATTTAATAAGGGAAGACACTGAGGCCTGGAGATGTTAAATAACTTGCCCAAGGTCATGAAGTTAGGATGTACTTGAGCCAGGATTCAAGGCCAAACTGTGGTTCCATAGTCCATGCCCTTAGCCACTATGTCATGCTTCCTCACACTTTATGGCCATGTAATAGTCCGTTGTGTGGGTATACTATAATTTATTTCTCCAGCCCTCTGTTGATAAGCATTTTTTTATATATATATATATATATATTTTTTTTTTTTTAAGTCTTTTGGTGGTAGAAATGGTGCTTCAGGGACTGACACACGTTTGGTTCTGTGTGCCAGGCACACCCCCAGTTGGGACTGTGAGGTCGGTGGGCAGGTCACTATGACTTGGTAGCCAGTGCAAATTTGCCTGTCACTGCCCGAGATGCCCCACCAACAGTAGATGGTCACCCTGTTAGGGTTTAGATGGAATCCCAGCACAGGTTTGTTTTGCATTTTCTCTTACTGAGCACAGTTGAGTAGCTCTTTTTGTTTTTGATCCATTTGTATTTCCTTCATGTTCTATTTGTGTTCTTTGGCTGAGTTGCTTGTCTTCTTGTTAATGGATAAGAGCTAAAGAGAGTCATCCTTTGCAGTCATGTTTTTTCAGTTTGTCACACCTATTTGCTTTTTTTTTTTTTTAATTGAGACATTTTTATGTGTATCCTAATTTATCAAACTTCTTTTGTGCTTCTGGACTTTGATGCATAGTTAGGTCTGCTCTACTCGAGGATTAGGCAGGCACACTCCCATGGCTTCTTCTGACACACTTAAGGTTTTGTTTTTTTTTTAATATTGAAATTTTTATATATTTGGGATTTAGTAGGGTATAAGGTGTGAATCCAACTTTATTATTATTTTTTCAGTAGACTACTTAGAAGTCTCAGTGCTGTGTATTGGAATAATTTAGCTTATCCCCCTAGTTCGCGGTTTACCGTTTAATTAGTGAAGCTTTAAAGTCCACCATATTAGTTCTTTCCCATCTTCAGCCCAGGTGCCTTGTTTTAGATGTTTTCCTGAAACTTTAATTTTCTGTATTAAATTCTAGAATCACCTTGTTTGCTTAAAAATGCATCTATATAACAAACTTGATGGTATTTTTATTGAGAAGATAACATGTTAATGTTAAAATAATTAAAGAGGAGTTTGCATTTTAACGTTGGGTCATCTTAGCCCAGAACGGGGCCTGTGGTTCTGTGTGTTGATGTGCCTTCTGTATTCCTGAGTCATTTGGAGGTTCCTCTCCAGGTGGTTGGTTGTGTCCTCACTTTGTTCCCAGGTCGTTTTCCTCATTGCTGTCGCCCGTGAGATTCTTGTCCCATTCACTCTTCTTACTGCTTGTTACTGAGATGCGCGGCTGTGGCTCATTTCCCCGGTTTATGCCGCCTCAGTGTTTGGACAGTTTCCGGTACGTTCTCTCGGGTTTCCCAGGTATCGAGTCATATGATCTGCAAATAATGTTACTTTTCTTCCTTTCTCATTTCTGTGCTTGTAATTTCTCCAGTGGTAGGGTTAGTTAGTGTCTCCAATGCCAAGTTAAATAAAACCAATGAGTTTTGTTCAGAATTGGAAGCATTGTTCAGTCATCCCCTAACTTCATGCAGCTTCGGAGCTGTTTGCTCTCCAAATCCTTCCCCTGGCCCGCAGTTTCAAGCCTCTCCTCTTTGTCCCTGTGCTCAGAAGCTCCCCATGATGTGCACTGGGTGGGGCTCTTGTCCTTCTAGTGAGTCGTCCAGCAGGCCCTTTTAACCTCGGAGACTGTGTCCTTCAGCCCTGGGTGACTGTCTGTAGAAGTTCTGTGATAATCTTCTCTCTCTCGGGAGTCCCATGGGGCCCACGTGAGACCCTCGGTGTGACCACCTCATCCTTCTGTTTTCTCTCGTGTGTGTTTGTTCTCCTTTCAGGGCAGTTATCTCAACTTTATTTTTGTAAAAACGGAAGTTTCTCTATCCCCCTTAAACTGTAAAATCTCTGCTGTGTTTTCATTTCTGCACTCCTCCCTGGATGTCTCTGCTGTCCAGCACGTGGTCCCCGTTCTCTGAGACCGCCAGTGATAAATGGTGTCTCGGTGGTTGTGTTTCTGTGTTTAAGTGCTATCTTCCCTGTGCTGTCTTGTAGATGATACCAGTAGTTGTCTTTATTTTTGTTTTATTTTGTCCTTCAAAGCGTCGTGATCCTTGACTGTCTGTTCATATTACGAGCGAGGGCCTACAGACCAACCCGCGTTCCACTAGGGCAGGGGTTAGAGAGGCTGAGTTCTGCTTTGCAATAAAGCAGTGCAGTGTTGGCTGTAGGACTGGCCGCCTTTGATGCCCAGACGCAGTGTGTCTCTTGGGACAGTTAGCATCACCAGAAAGGACCTCCCGCTCCTCTGCGTCCTCTTTCCCATGAAGTTTCCTCCCGTCCCCTTGCCTCTCGGCCTTGCCCTCTCCTTGTCTTCTCTGTCCCCCTCCTGGCCCGCACTCGACCCATCCACGTGGAGCCTCTCCTGGCTCCTCCTTGGCTCCCCCAGCCCCATCCAGCCACCGCTGGAGTTCGAAGCTTCGGAAGTGCCCACACCCTGCCCTGTGCACGTGCTGGCCCCCGCACTGAGGAGCGGCCCTCTGCTGGGAAGCCCTCCTTGCCTTTCCACGACACGAAGGTCTGCCTAGGGCCTTATCTCTTGCTCACTGGCGCTGTTGGAGCGTCTAGCTGTAACCTCTGGTTCTCTGCATGGTGTCGTTTTCCCTGCTGGTCTTAAGTTCCAAAGATCACTGCAAGCTCCCAGTGCTCGCCCGTCATTTCTCCGGTTCTCTGCAGCCTCGGAGGGGGTGGTGGGAAAGCAACACCTAACCCCTTTTTGTTGCCTGACTGTCTCTCTCACGCTCATCAGGAAAGTGGGGCATCTAGCTGTCCATCTGCTCTGTCACTTGCAGGTGGGAGGGAACGGGGGATGTCCTCCTCGAACCCATGTCTGCGGCCATGTTCCTTTCTTCCCCATGTTAGGTGATGATGGGGGCTGAGCGAAGGGAGGCAGTTGAACATGGAGACACCTAAGGGTGGTTACACCTAGAACAGGAGTTAAGCTGGCAGTCATATACCCGCCTGTTCAGTGAGGTGATTCAAAGAAAAGCCCATCAGTAGTCTGGATATAACAGTGGGAAGAAAAGATTTTTAACTTCTCTACTACTACTGGAAGAGTTTTGCAAACGCTGCCCAGAAAACCCTTTTCCTATTTACTGGGGAGCTGGATTTGTCTCTGAAGAACTACCCTGTGGCTGTGTCTGGCAGTGCAAGTTGGCGATGTGACACGTTGGCCTCTCCTAGGTTTCAGAAGGACCCTACCTGGTCAGAGACGGGAGACCGTTACCTGTTGAAACTCTTTAGAGACCATCTCTTCCATCAAGTGACAGAAGCGGGTGCTCCCTGGATCGACCTCAGTCATATCATTTCTTGTCTTAACAAGGTAATTTCTACCCGCATTGTTAGGGTCACGCTATCTGAAGTTGTGGCATTGCATCTTCTGCAAATGCTAGGAGGCTTCAGTCATCAGGATATGCTTTGACTATAGCCTTCAGAGACATTTTATTAATAGTTATTAAGGAGTTCTGGTGGCGCTGTGGTAAGGGACTCAGCAGCTAATCAGAAGGTTGGCGGTTCAAACCCACCAGCTACTCTGCAGGAGAGTGATGAGGCAATCTGCTTCCATGACGACTGACAGTCTTGGACCCTGTGGGGTCGCTGTGAGTCCACATTGGCTCAGTGGCAGTAGGTGTGTGCTGGGTTTTTTTTTTGTTTTGGCACAAATGCACATTTTTTTTTAATGTGAATCATTTCACTGTTATAAAATACCACAAAAGACTGCTTTTTCCTTTTATACTATATTTGTGTCATTTTGTCAGACCAAATAAAACCTTGATTGTGACAAATAGGAAAATAATTTTATACTTAGATGTTTTTTAAAAACTGACTCCCTTTGTTCCGAGTCATCGTGAGTCATACAAAATGTTGTACGTTATGATTTGTTGATTGTTTATCAACCACCAGTCAACTCCGTAGGCCCAGCCAGTGTGAGTGGGGGATTAAGTGATGAGATGAGTTAACTGGTTACATGCATAACTAAATTTATGCAGAGGATGCATTTAGTTGAGAGGCGAGCTGTGCATTTTGGAACGGGCTGAGGGAGATGCCGTTCACAGAGGAGAAAGGAGTGTGGATTTCTGATGCGTTGCCTGGGATTATTGAGCACAGAGCCAGGCCCCTCATAGCCTTGTACAGGTTGACGTCTGAACCAGTGGTGGGCCACACCACAGCCAGCCCATGGCCTGATTCTGTTCAGCCTACAAGCTAAGTGTTTATGAAACCACACTCCAAACTCACCACCATTGAGTCCATTCCGACTCACAGTGAGAAACCCATTGGGTTTCCAAAGTGGTAAATCTTTACAAAAGTAAATAGATTGCCCAGTCTTCCATCCGTGGAGTGGCTGGTGAGTTTGAACCACCAACTTTCTCTTAGCGGCCAGTGCCCCAGGCGCTGTGCCACCGGGGCTCCTGACGAGTTTCCAGAGGGTTGTATGAAAACTATAAAAAGCCAGGAGTAGGTGACAGGGACTATGTGTGGCTCCTAAGCACAGAAGTTCACCCTGTGCCCCTTTGAACACTGATGAGCCCTGGTCTCAGCTGCCCCTCAGTCGTAGACAGTGGAGGGGAAACACCCGCCAGAGCATGGCATGGAGAGCCAGAGATGGGCACCGCGCCCACAGCGGGACGGACGGCGCCCACGCCCTTTCGGGGCCAGTAATGCACTGATGTGTGGCTGCCCACGCCCTTCGCCTTGGTGGATCCCTTTCCACTCTTCAGAGTGTCTTCAGAGTGCAGTCAGAAGCTGACTCAGCCGGCACAGAACCAGACATACTCCTGACGTGGACCCTGATTGAAATACACACTTTCCCCCCATTTCCCTTAAAGTGAAGTGCTTTTTCCTCAGAGCAGTGAACGGAGAATAATTGTATCCGATTTTAGAACACAGCATCAAAGGGGCAGTAGTAAAAATGGTCCTTCAGCAACCAAACCACTGCCATTGAGTCGATCCCGACTCATAGCGGCCCCTCCTTGGGTTTCTGAGGTGGTAAATCTTTATGAAAGTAGATTGCCCAGTCTTCCTTCTGCGGAGTGAAGTTTGAACCGCCAACCTCCTGGTTAACAGTCAAATGCATTAGGCTGCTACACCACCAGAGCTCCTTAAAAATTGTATGTTGTTGTTGTTATGTGCCATCAAGTCTGACCCGACTCACAGTGACCCCTCCTTGGATTTCCAAGGCAGTATCACTATGGAAGTAGATTGCCCAACCTTCCTTCTGAGGAGTGGCTGGTGGGTTTGAACAGCCAGCCTTCTGGTTAGCAGTCAAGTGCCTTAGGCACTATGCTACCAGAGCTCCCAGGTTAAAAAACATACTTTTATGAAAAAGGAAGAAAATATGTACAAGGAAAGATAACAAAAATAAAGCAAAAACCCTAAGACATTTGACGGACTAAGGATTAGTATTTATGCTGCATACCAACCTCACTGCCATTGAGTCATTTCTGACTCATAGCGACCCCCACTGGGTTTCTGAGGCTGTAAATCTTTATGGAAGTAGACTGCCCCAGCTTCCTTCTGCAGAGCAGCTGGTGGGTTTGCACTGCTGACCTTCTGGTTAGCAGTTAAGTGCTTTATCCACTACACAGATTTCATTAAAATGCAGCTAGCTGCCAAGCCCCCAGAGATAAGTGTAAAGATCATACTGTTGGAAATAACCACGGTGAACATGGGAATACATTTGATAATGCTAGTTAATCAAAAACTGCTAAGTGCAAATTAGCAAGGCTTGGTTTTGATGTAGGGGCCGCTGTGAATTGGCACAAGTCGTCAGCAAAGGTGTTGTAATTGACGTTCTTTGGAAAGTAGTGTGGCTATGTGCACTGAGCTGTGTAACGCCTCTGTTCATGGTTTTATCATATATGTTTTCAAGAATTCCTGCTAAGGAAGTAATTCTATAGAAAAATAAATCAATAGGTGAGTATGTTCGTCACCTGTAATCATAGTATTAATAAAATAGAAGATAGTGGAGTAAACCACTAATGTCATAGAATAACAGCAGGTGCTGAGTGTGAAGGATAGGGGGAAACATACGACAGAGGTCTTACTTAGAAGAAATGGAGATGAAACTGTCCTGTTGCCATCGAGTTGATTCCAACTCCTGGCAACCCTATAGGACAGAATAGAACTGTTTCCAAGCTTGTAAATCTGCATGGAAGGAGATTGACACCTTCTCCCACGGAGTGGCTGCTGGGTTTGAACTACCAACCTTTCAGTTAGCAGCTGAGCACTTCAACTAGTGCACCAGCAGGGCTACTCTGCACACTGATTAACTAAAACCACACCCACTGCCTGTAGAGTGGATTCTGACTCACAGTGCCCCTAGAGGACAGAGTGGAACTGCCCCACAGGGTCTCCCAGGCTGTCAGTCTTTACAGAAGCAAAGCCCAAACCACACCCACTGCTGTGGAGTCCATTCTGACCCACAGCGCCCCTAGAGGACAGAGTGGAACTGCCCCACAGGGTTTCCAAGGCTGTCAGTCTTCACAGAAGCAAAGCCCAAACCACACCCACTGCTGTGGAGTTGATTCTGACTCACAGCGCCCCTAGAGGACAGAGTGGAACTGCACCACAGGGTTTCCAAGGCTGTCAGTCTTCACAGAAGCAAAGCCCAAACCACACCCACTGCTGTGGAGTTGATTCTGACTCACAGCGCCCCTGAGGACAGAGTGGAACTGCCCCAGAGGGTTTCCAGGGCTGCCATCTTACCGGGAGCTGACCACCACATCGTCCTCTCAACATACTAATGAGTAATTGTAGACTACTGATGGATTTCTGGAAAGGACTGTGATAAAAGATAAACACATCCACAGATTCCTCCATCCCCCCTGCCTGTGTGGAGTGTCGTTCTCCAAGGAGGGAAAGTGGACTCTTGGTGTGGTGTGAGTGTCACCTTCTGTGCCTGTGTCTGTTTCAGCTAGATGCTGGTGTGCCAGAGAAGATCAGCCTCATTTCCAGAGACGAGAAGAGTGTCCTCGTGGTGACTTACAGTGACTTAAAGCGCTGCTTTGAAAACACTTTTCAGGAACTAATTGCAGCTGCAAATGGCCAGTTGTAGTATTTGCTCAAAACAACAGAAAGCAGGCACATGGTGCGGTGCTGAGCAGCTGAGCCGAGAGCAGACTGCGCGACCGCGGCACTGTCCTCCTCTCACGGCACATCCGGGAGACAGCAGAGGATGAGCCAAGCTGCTCGCACGTCACTGGGCACACTGTGACGTGAAGGGAAGAGCGTGTCACTGTTGGAGCTGTGGCTGCCGGTGCAGGCTGCATCTATGAAGAAGTTAGTTGAGATGAAGGGACGCCACCAGGTGAATGACGTTTCTGCCGCCGCCACCTCCCCTTTTTTTCCCACTTGTATATGCACTAATTTTAATTTTTTTAAAGACTTTTTTTCTGATCTTTGAACTTTTGCCACAATGTAGATTTATTAAGGGGGACGATTTTCCAGAACGTTCTGGGGGCGCAGTGCGGGGCAGCGTTGGCGTCACTGAGGGTTGCAGAATTTGCTCCTGGGGGGAAGGTTGCTGCAAGGACCGCAGCGGACCAGGTAGAACTCCAGTAGACGCACAGCGTAGTGCGCGATTCTCGTCAGAGTGCTGTACGCAGGCTGTCTGTGCCACCCGCTGTTAGCTCACTCAGAGATTTCGGTTTTGTCTTAACACACACACACACACGGAAACATCGGTGAATTGTTGGATGCGGAGGCCCCTCCCCAATGGTCACCACTCTTCCCGAATCAGGGCTGTATAAACAGGCACCGAGGGGCACAGCTCTCTGCTCCAAATTCAACTGAGCCTTTAAGGAAAAGGGGGATAGAAGGGCCTGTTTCCCTGCTGGGCAGATGCATTTAAATGTATACCTTTTTTTTTTTTTTTTAAATAGAGAAAGGAATTAAGAAATTGTTTAGAGGCCTGAAGTTCAGGAATGTATTCCCTTAGGTTATCTGCAGTTTGCTTTTTTGTATAACGTTCTGTTCTTGGAACCACAGCTTTATATGGTACTTTACACTGGATAGAGAGAGACACTGTTGAGAAGCTAAGTCAACACAGCAGTGGCCTGGCGTCAGGAGTGTCGCGGAGCCGGACGGCCGGAGTGGAGGGCCACCTGTCTGCTGTGCCTTCACAGTCACTGCTTAGCCCAAAGGAATAGTGCTTTTCATAATAATTCTCTCTGGGGGATATTCCCAGAGAAGTCAATCTCAACAGTTTGGAGTTTCCTCCTCTTAACTTTCTTAATATTTGGACACACAGTTGTCGCCAAACTTGGAATTTATAGTTAATGAAAAACCTACACTTTGATACCGAAGACTGCCAAATACATAGGAATTTTCTTTCTTACTAAGCAAACAGAACCAGTCGCGAAGCCTCCATGTCCTCTCCCCACACTGAATGTTTTACTAGCACTGGGTGCTCACCACGCAACTACGAAGAAAACACGGGAACTCACAGGTCAGGACAGACTTGGAAGCGCTTGCAAGTGATGTTACTGGCTTCAGTTTTAATAAGTATACATATTTGTAGTTTTCAGAGAAGTTTTTACTATTTCTCCACTTTTTTATAAGCTTTAAAATGATTCTCTCTGCCTTGAGAGGTGCATCAAGAAGCGCCCCTTGTCACCCGAAAGTTGTGAAGACCAGAGACGCGCCGTTCGCGTCAGGAAGTGTGGTCCAGCCCACGCTCTGCAGCATCAGCCGCTGACTTACAAAGAAAGTCAGTTACCGCATTTGATACGATGCATTCGAAAGAACATAGTGTTCGGTATTCAAAGGGTAATTGACGTCTGCCACCATATTGTTCTTATTTTATGTAAAAGGAACACGGACTTGGAGACATTCACATGCAGAAGTCTTTTATCATTATTAGCTCATGTATCTGAGGAAGAGCAGCTGTCTTTTTATATGTTTTTTGACAAATCATATTGTAATTCTTTTGTACAAAAAAGAACTACTTGTATTCTAGAAGAAATATGAAATGCTTAATTTATAAGCGGGCTGGAGATTTTTTCCAATATTGTTTTCTTTGAAAATGAAAGGGGATCACTATTTTAGTTTTAGGGTTTGGGAACTTTTTGAACATTTCACTTGTGGACCAGTGTTCTGTGAAAGATAAGGAAGAGCAGGGCTCACATAGGCTTGAAATTCTTCTGAGCAGACCAGCAAACGCCTCTGCAAGGCCAAGTTCAACTCACAAACCCGAGAATGTGTGCAGCGTGAGCGCTAGTTTGCTTCAGCCCCTGGTAACCTCAGGACTCGGTTGACTGTGAAGGGTAGATCTGTTTCCACGAGTAAATATTGTCAGCCGGAAAAAAAAAAAAAAAGGTTGGTGTCAGGTAATGCCTATTTTTTTAGCTTTGTTTTGTATTTATTTTTCATTTTATTTTTATTGGGAATGGTTTTTGAAAAGAACCTGCAGTTCTGCTTCGGTGTTTTTTGGGGGAGCCCTCGTTTTTCCATGGTGCAATTCCATGTAAGAGGTTGTCTGACAGTCTGTTTAGTTCACGGGAAGCTTTCCTCTCTGAGGACAGTCGTGAAGGATGCCGGCTTCCCGTTCTGCCTATTACTCCAGGTGGTGCCGGCCACGGCAGGGTTTGGTGCCTGTTCGGATTGTTCACCTGTTTGCGTCATTGTAACTGCTTTGGAGGGCACCTTTGCATTTGCTTTCGACCTCGGTTCTGCGATTTGGTTGGATGTCAACAACTTCCCTATAAAGCACCAGTCTGTTCAGTTCTCACGCCATGGTCCCAGTATGTGTTCTCCATCTTTAATCCTCTTTTCATTCTTTACATGTACAGCATTATTTTTAATAAAGAATTACTGAAATAAGTTTGTCTGTCTTGTTCCAGTTCATCTTACAAGACGTTTGTCTTACGAGCAGAACTTAGAAGGTTGTGTGTTTCTGTGCTTTGGAGAAATTTCCATCTTTGGATAAAGTGTCGGCAGATTTACTCAGTAATTTCACAAACCCTTGTTAGAGGCCTGGTCTGTCCTTGGCTGTGTCTGTTCTGGGCACTGCGAACACAGACGCGAGGACTCGTGTATTTACACCCGAGCGTTTCTCTGTAATACGGGGCTTACAGTGGTTTAGTGGAGAGGGCCTACTTCCCGACAGCTACACCACGATGGAGTTGCTCTCTCATTCATTCATTCACCGTGGAGGCGAAGGGCACTTCTGTCCCAAATCCTCCAGGTACATAACTGAGATTTCTCATAATGAAAATTTGAAAAAATACAACACAGATGAGAGCGTGGTAAGGGGCCGAGGGCACAGGTGACAGGCGAGGTGACCAGCGCAGGGACTGGTGAGCGGCTGGGAGTCGGAGGGGAGGGAGGGTGCAGATGGGATGAGAGTCTCGGTGCGGCGGGGACACCACGCGAGGATGAGAATCAAAGGGACTGTTGTCGGCTCGAGGGGGAGGGAGGCTGTGGCCTGGAGGCCGTGTTCAGGGGATCTCTCGGCTTTAATGTTCTTAGGAAAAGATACTACAAATCCTGTTAAAACTGGGTCAGTGTTAACATCATGATGTGCCCTACTAAATGGAGAGACAAGAAGATAATAAACTAATGGCTTCTTTTCATCTCCTGTGTTCTGAACTGTCTGCAAGTCCCAGGTGAAGGCACCCCCGGTCACTCCAAGGATTACATCTCCAGAGCCAAGGATAAAGGTCACCTCACTTAGAATAAAACTCGTCCTCTGTCCCACACATCCTAGAGAGTTAACCGTTGTTTCTCTGGACTACTTTAAGTGGGCGCTCTGTACCTCGTTTGGTAAGTCAGGCAGCCCTGTCCACGTCCTTAGCCGTGCTCTGTAGGGCCACCGGAAAAGACTCGGCCAACACCCTCTAGCGTCAGGAGGCCTGGCGGAGCCTGTGGTGCAAGACTGGCTGACAAAAGGCCGAACACTGGCTCGGAGAGCTTCCTGGGTGGTGATGGGAGAGTGACGGGCCCTCTCTGAGAGCCGGCAGTTCCACGCGGGGAGCTTACTACACGTGGCTTGGGCACCTTCCTTAGATGGTCCTTGTTTCCATCCTTCAACCAGTAGTGGGAAGTACACCGTCCGTGACTTCTGTGGATCCTTGCAGTGAATTAACAAATCCAAGGAGAGTGTCCTCTTGAAAGGTCTGACCTAGCCCCAGGTGGCTAGGGACAGAGAAAAGGATGCCACATGGCAGCTGGCATCCGTGAAGCTGCCATCCTAGGATGGGTATGCCTCAAGGATTACGTGGGACAGATAACACCAAAGAGCTCCTCATTTATCTGACATTTCGAGTTTAATGTCAGAATCTTTCTGTTGCCCCGGTGGGGAATGTGGCCGGAGCAGTTGGGGTGAGTGTGCGTGAAGGGTTTGGGTGGGTTTGAGTGACCTGGAGGAGAGGAATCGGTGAGTAGATGAATAAGGAATCAGGAAGTTCACTGAAGGGAGAACAGAAATGGGGTCGGGGCTGGAGTGGAGTTAGGGGTGACAGTATTTCGTTCTGTAAGATGGGAGAAATAGTAGCATGTTTGTATGATTCAGTGGAAAAGAGAAAAACTAATGGTGTGAGGGTGCGGTAAGCTGCAGGGGTGCAGTCCCAGAGTAGGATGGGGCAGCAGCGGGGGCGTTGTCGCCAAGTAGGGGTGCAGATGCTGGTGGCTGGGGAGTTGGAACAGTGGCACTCAGGAAACGTTCTCTCTTGATTTCTTTACTGTTCATTGAAGTGAAGGGTATCCTACTGATAGGACCAGTCAGTCAGGGTTGTTTGGAAAATGAGTTTCCTCTTCTGAAGCACTTGGGATAGCTGCTGGCGCATACTGAGAGTCACATGTACCAGTTACCAGCTGCCACTGCTTGCCCGATGCCAGTGTACTGAACAGCGTGTGCTCACTAATGGTTTTTCTGGTACCAAAAAATGTGTGCATGTTTTAAAAAGAAAGTGAACTCCATTTACAGACCTATTATTTTAGCCTGAAATTAAACTGTTCTCTGTTTGTTGTTTTACAATGAGGTTTTCTTCTATGAAAAATTATAGTAGTTTTTCCTAAAAATAACTTTATTGAATACCCTGCACATACCTATATCCACAACCAGCGTATAGCTCCGTGACTTAGCGCCACGTGACCGTGTCTGTGCCCCGCCACCCGGAAAACAGTGGTGCAGCACGGGGTGGATTTCCGTTCAGTCCAGTGCCCTTGACTCACCAGAGAGAAAGCTGGCCATCCCTGTGTCAGGCCCCAGTATATTTCGGACACATGTTCCGGTCATGTGTTTAACACCAAGGCATCAGTGAAGCTTACTGGGTCATCCTGCTGGAGGAGAAAGGCACTTCCCACAGGGACTGAGAATTTTCCAAGTCGTGAGAAATTTTCTAGGCTCTGCCATGGCGTCATTCCTCAGGTATTCTACAGCCTCTCGGGGAAGGGCTGGTGTCTAAGGCTTTAGCCTGATTGGCTGACGTGGTTTCCCGGCACACATCTGCCCCGTGAGTAGGGCCTGTGGCGCCGCCACCCGTGAGTGTTGGGAACAGCGCCTCTGTTCCGTCCGCAGCCTACCTCACGCGTGTGCCATTTGCTTGTTTTCTCACCTTACTGACTTCAGTGTGGAATTTTCAGGCAGCCTGTCTACTTCCCCTGTTAGCAGTGTGCTGGCTGGCCGGCCGGCCAGGCTGTGGTGTCTGTGGGCAGCTCTTGACCTCATCAGTGCTTGCATTACCCTTTGCTGCTGTCTTTATTAATAAGTGGTATTTATTTATTACTTTCTATTTTAAGAGCTTGTTTTACATTCAGCATTACGCGTACATTTAGTTTCTTCGACCATTCGCTGGGCTGTCTCCTCCCCTCCCTACCCTGCAACCCTTCCCCTGTGCCCCTCATAATTAAGCTCTCCTGTTTGTCCTGCATTTCCTCAACCTGAATGTTGGTCCTCTGGTGTCCCATGGTCTATTGCTCTAAGGGCTGTAGTACCACAGAGTATGGGCGTGCATCCCCCTGGGTTGAGTGGTCTGGGTGTACATCTTGTTAATATTAGGCTGAAAGCCCACCCCTGGGGGTGAGTTTTATTCCAGGCGCAGAATGCATTCCAGGGACATAGTATTGGCGGGGGTCTCACCAGACTCCATCTGACCAGTACTTCTGCTCATTATTGAGTTTTTGGATTTTGTTCCACGTTTTCTCTCCCACTCTATCCAGGATCTCCAGATTCGATCCTTTCCTGAGTGGTTGGCATTGGTAGCCAGGCACCATCTGGTTCTTCTGGTCTCGAGGGCCATCGTGTCCTAGGGCTGATTGCTTCTAAATGCCCTTGTAGGTTTTTTTTTTACGTTCTTCACCACTTCCGACACTAGGAGACCATAAGCTGCATCTTAGGTGGCCACCTGAAAGCTTTTAAGACCCCAGTCGCTACTCACCAATGTAGGATGTGGAGCAAGGCTTTTCTGTATCTTCTTGTGCCAGTTGAGTCTGGTGCCCCCAGTACTATGGCCCTGAGACAGTAGATCTATTGGATCTCTCTCCCACAGTGTCTGGATGTCTGTGAGGGATTACTCTGTGTCTGTCTTCTATTGTTTCTGTAAGGGCTGCAGGTATTTTGTATCACTGGTGTTTGTGCAAGATTAGCCTCAGCTGAATCTATCCTTGGTCTAGAGTGTACCTCTGTTCACTGACCCTGTCTGATCATCTCAGGTGTTTATGTGTTTACCTGTAGTCTGGTGTTTGGTGTTAATGGTAGTGCAGTATTGTGGACACATTGGTTGGTATTAGCATCTGTCATCTATCTCTCATGTGCACAATTCGGTGTCCTCCCATTTCCTAATGTTATCATGGTGGTCACAGATCCTTCCCATAAATCCTTCCTCCTACCCATGCTAGCTTGTAGGCTCCATCTAGCCTAAAATTAATCCCTCCCCATCCCAGTAACCTACTAGGCGAGTTCCCTTGCCCAAGCAAACCCTCCTCTGTCTTTTTACAGTAATGGGCTCATACAGTACTTGTCGTTCTGCGATTATTTCACTCAGCATAATGTCCTCCAGGTTCATCCACGTTGCAAGATGATTCATATATCCCTCATGGTTCTTTAATGTGGCATCGTATTCCATTGTGTGGATATACCGTAATTTGGTTGTCCACTCATCCGCTGATGGGTATGTAGGTTGCTTCCATCTCCTTGCTATGGTGAATTGTGCTGCAATGAACACAGGTGTACATATGTCTGTTCATGTACTACCTCTCATCTCTTTAGGATATATTCTTAGTAATGGAATTACAGTAAGTGGTATTTAATGACGCCTCCGAGATCACCAGGCGCCCGCCGGGAAGCCCAACCCTCCTTTTCACTTACAACCCAGTCAGGAAGCACGTACACAGATGGATTTGGAAGTTAGTTTTAATATAGGAAGAAGGTACACAAAATACATTCATGACTGGAAAGAGGACCAAACTGTGTCTTACATCTGCAGCATATATTCTTGGCTTTCTATAAAAGTAACTTTAAAATTCCAGTTTCCTTAAATAGTTACGCACAGGACACACACACACACTTCTATATACATACACATATAGTGGCTACCACTGTCATTCAGAGACGCACTCTTTTCATCCATTTAAATGGGGCTGCAAGTATGTTCCAAGTTTGACATTCTTACGGTCTGGGAAACAAGACATAGCTCAAAGACTCAAGCAACATTTGGTAGGATTTAGTCAAACGTCCCACACCACAGGCCCACGCGAGGTTCTGAGCCTCTCTTCTTGAAGGGGGTTTGGTGCCGTTCCCTGCACTGTGACTCCGTCTCAAGGACCACTGAGGCAGACACTTGCTCTTCAGCACCAGCCGTGTGGGTCGTAAATGCTGAATGGCTCTAGTTTTGCCATCAGTGAATCCGTGTTCATTTTCGGTGCTATTTGAATGAACCAGCCGGTTGTAGGCACTTTGCAACTAGACACAGTTGTCACTTCAAGCTTCCATTTTTTTGTTCTATGCCAAGACCCCTGCTGACGATGGGATTTTTTTGATGGATGGAGACATGTCAGTGAACAACCCTATATCTTTGAACAAGTGTGAATTAACACAGTTTTAATGTTCTGGTTTTATTTTCGGGCAAAATGGTATTACTAAGGCACTGCACGATTCAGAATTAAATGATGGAAACCAAGACATCACACCCATAGTTAAAGGTTTTCTTCTCATCAGTAATGGCGGGGCCCAGGATTTGGGGAACACCAGGGAACGACCAGAGCGTGTGTTCCCTGTGCGGAACCTCTGGCTTCCTTGTGGACTCACTGCTGTGTGTAAAGAAGAGGAAGAACCGAGCCTCTCTTACCTCCTCACCTGACTCTGTCTGGATTTACCGGTGGTGCCGCCTGGCCCCCTCCTTGCTCACTGTCTCCCTTGGGAACGTTCTGGCCAGGTTGCGTTTGACGCCCATCGCTTCGTACAAAGACCCTTTCAACAAGACTGTGGCGCGCACGGGGAAGGCAGAAGGGCTCCTCCTCCACCTCAGGCCACAGAGCTGTGCCAGGCCCGGCGGAAGCAGATACGCCTCTCCCAAGGCCCAGGTCCCCGCAGCCTGTCCAACAGCCCGACTCTCCATGGCACGATCTCTCTGAGTGTCACACACAGCCGGCCCAGAGCTCCCAGATCTGCAGAGCCTGCCAGAGCCAGCACCTGTTACCCGGTCTCCCTGGTCTATCCTCCTCAGAGCCAAGGCCAAGGCCAATGGCAGTGGGCTCTCTTCTCTCTTGACTGACATCCTCAGTCCCAATTCCAGCAATCCCTGTGCAAGTCACACATAACCTTTCTTCTCAAGGAGCATAAAGTGCTTGGTGCACGTTGCGTGATGCTCTCGCGTGTCCTTCCAGAGGAGTGAGCTGACTGCACTGGAGGGAAACGCGGTCGACTCGCTAAGCTGTGGGTGGCATCCGTTTTGGTGAGTGGGTTTGGCTGGTGTAGACACGGAGCTTTTTGCTGCACCTCATTCTTTGATTGCATCCGTCCGAGACCTCTACAGGAACCCCCTCCCCAGCTCCACTCTTCAGCCCTTGGGAAAGTAACTTGGACAAAACAGGATGATACGAAACACTGAATGAAGTGTCTCGACCATACCTTAATACTGGCTAGAATCTGGTGTTTGTAAAAAACGTGGCTGTGCGCCCAGCAGCGTATAACCCTAAAGACTGACGTGCTCCAGTCAGCTGCGAGCAGTGTGCCAAGCGTCAGGCCGCCCTGACGGAGCCGAGAGCGCCCTGCGGGTCTGCGCTTTGTGGCGTTTCTTGTGCGAGGGCTCGGCAGGACAGGCCAGCCTCAGCGCCGTAAATCGACACCCTGCCCCGTGTGGGAAGGAGCAGAGAGCTCCTCCCACAGGGGACGTCTTCAGATTCGCTTTGCAGTGCCAAAACATGCGTCTGTCCCTGTGTGCCCGCCTAGCATCCAGAAAGCGTCCCGCCAACCTGTCCTGTCTGCCGCCTGGCTGGGCCTCCAGTGCCGAGCAGGTGCGGCCGGGGGCTGGGAAGCCGGGCGCACACGGCCGCGAGCCGCACCCACTCCCTCTGCCTTCCCTGCTCCCGGCAGCTCCTTCCCCCACCCCCGGACTTCCACCAGCAGGGCGCCCCTGGCTGAGGCTTGCCTGTCCCCCGGCTCTGGGTGCCCGCTGGCCAGCAGCCTCCACGCTGCCTGGTGTGGTCTCTACTGGGTCGGCGACGCCCTCGTGCCCTGAGTCTCGGGGTGGGAGCAGCGGTCCTGGCCTTGGAGAGGGTTGGGGTAACTTTCTGCAACGTGTGTATTTGCCAGTAAGGCTCTCCGCTTGTCACTATCTCTATGTGGGGTTACACTTTTGTTAGTCAAAGGGAAAAAAGGAGGCATTATTAAACATCACACTAACGCTGGCTTCTCCCCGGAAAGAGAACGGTGTAAACTTACATATGCGTAATACTGTCAAAGCTAGCTTTCGGGGTCTAAATACATGGGCGCCCAGAAGGCCGGTGCCACGCTCAGACCGGCGGCGGGCAGTACAGGACCACCGAGTTGTAGTCGGGGGGAGGGGAGCAGCAGGAAGCCCGGGCCTCCAGCTCCGAGACGTCGTACGTGAATCTGCGGCCGCCTCTCACGTGCCCACAGCCCGAGAGGCAGAAGCCCGGCCGGGCGGGGCCGGCGAGTCCCGACTCCTTACTCCTGGTCACTCGCAAGCTGGGGAGAAACAAAGGGAGAGAGGAGCACATGTCACACTGGGGTTCTTGGGACACATACTCGCTGATGCTTAGCAGCCTCCGCCCAATCTCAGCCGCACACTGAACCCGACTGACCTGCTGACCGCGAGTGAACTCCAACGCACAGTGACCCTACAGGAGGCGGAACGACCCCGGAATGTTCCCAAGGCTGTAATCGTTTTGTTTTGTTACTTTTATTGGAGGTGAAAACACACACAACGAGACATTTGCCAACATAACAACTTCCGCACTTACAGCTCGGGGACATGGACGACGTTCTCTGTGTTCAGCCACCGTGACTGCTACCCTTTTCCAAAACACTCCACCCTCATTAGCATAAACTCAGTGCCCCCGAAAGAAAAGCTTCCCCTTTCCCTCTTCCTCCTACTCCTGGTAAACATTAATCATCTTTAAAATTTATTTATTCGATCTATCTAGAAATTTTCCCTCCCCTCCCATCCTCGGTAGCCAACAAAGCTGCCTTCTTTGTCTCAACATTTCCCAAGGCTGTAATCTTTATAGGAGCTGTGGTGGCATTGTGCCTAAGGCATCTGACTGCTAACTAGAAGGCTAGTAGTTCAAACCTATCAGCCATTCCTCCGAAGGAAGGTTGGGCAATCTACTTCTGTAGAGATACCACCTTGGAGACCCAAGGAAGGGTGGCTGTGAGTTGAATCTGACTCCATAGCAGTGAGTTTGGTTTTTGCTTCTGTAAAGACT